CATATATATATATATAAAGAGAGAGAGAGAGAGAGAGAGAGAGAGAGAGAGAGAGAGAGAGAGAGAGAGAGAGAGACCTTCAGGAGGAATTTGTACAAATCCGCTGGGATAAATCACCAGCAAGTCTGTGATTTTAGCTTGGTTACTAATTCAGTATTTTTTTAAATAAAACGAGACAAAATCAAGATAAATCATAAAAAAAGAAACATGATTCGGCCCGCGAGAGAGGAGGGTTCGCGAGAGAAGGGAGGAGAAAGTTTATGAAAGAGAGAGCGTATGTGGTCAGAATGAGTGAGATAGAATGTGTTGAAGTAAAAGAATGAAAGGTAGGAAGGGGAAAGGGAATCTTAGAATTAGAAGTTTACAATGAAATTATTTGAAATACCCTGGAAATAATTTCTCCAAGCAATTTCACGATTTTTTTGACTTGTTTTACGTAAAAACATGATGAATAGCTCTTACTTACTTTACGATCGTTTTGCTTTTGTTCAAGAAAACGTGCAATCATTGAAATTATAATTATTGAAATCGCAATGATGTCATATTAATGTTGCGACGTGCTCGAACGAATGAAAAAAGTGTGATTACTTTGCGTTTAAAACATCGCAATAAAGAAGACAGGAATCACTTCTTTATCTCTTGGAGAATCAGTCATCATGTCAATACGAGTCTTACTAACGTTAGTTAGTATTAGTCGTAATTAAACATTTTTTTCATCTTTATTATTATACCCAGTGATGCAGTATATAAGAGAAGACAATGGAGAATCGGTTAAATCACGATCTGAGCCGAGATTACCGTTGGTAAAACCAGCTCATTTTCATTATGAAATTATCCTGATTATCATATCAGCCCTGAATTTGCTTTGTGAGAATCTATTTAAATCGCAATGAATCATTGATAATGTATTTCTGGTTAATTCAAAGTCCGTCTCGAAGAATAAATGTACGAAATACCATACTTCTAGAATCGTCGACACGCTGTTACATTATTGATTTTTGAGCTTCG